TCGTTGTATTTATAACAAGCGAGCACAACTGATGAACTTTGGTACAGTGCTTATAGCTTTTGGTCGCAGAGTGAAGGAGTGGCGGTGTGGCGGAGTGGAGGAGTGGCGGAGTGGAGGTGCGGCGGAGCGGCGGAGTGGCGGCGGAGCTGCGAGGACGTTTGCGGCCGCAGTGTATGGGCAGCAAATGATTAATCAGAGTACGATGTGTGTGACTGTAGGAAACAAATTCGTACCGACAACAGTATTTGTAGAGATCATCACATGGGAATAGTGCGGACGGAGTGACCTGATGATGATGATGATGATGTTATACACGTAAATCTTATAACTTACTGCAATTCATGCTTTTACATATAACTATGCATATGAAATTCGAATAACCCATTAGATCAAGGTAGGGATACAATTCAAGCTGATTGCGCGACCGCCGCGAAAAGGAGGCAACGGCGAGTGGGCTAGTGGCGAGGCGACTGGCACGCCAGCGGCACACCGGCCCCCCGGCCCCCGCACCCACCGCCCGTCTCTCAATCACTCGTCAGTCAATCAATCAATCAATCACATAAGATAACGCGCGGCAGAACTGCGATGCGACAACGACAGCGTTAAGCTCGTGCGCCGGAAGACCGAGTACCTACACAGATATTTTATCGTTACAAGCATTATTACGCGATCCATCCGATAACGATCGCTTGTCCAAAATGTTTGATAAATAGACATGCTGCGCCGCGCCGTGACAACTGACAAAGCGCAGGGCGGCATGTCGTTGCACTAAGAGTAGTTCATCGTGTCTTGTTACTTAACATTTCGTTTAAATGGATTATTAGTAAATAGTCTACGCGCTATTCCAAACAGCAAATCCATTGCAGATGCTAAATTTCATGCAGACCCGTCCATCCATTTTAAGATTAGCTTGCTACAAAACATCTGTTCATCTAAAGTTTTCCATTTATAATATTATTATATTAAGATTGAACACAACAACAATACTTATGAATCATTGTTAACGTATGTACGAGTATGTGCAAATTATTATAATACGTACCAGAAACAAAAGGTACGTTCAAAATGTCTTAATCTTTGAACATAAAAAATTACAAGGACAATAAAACCAGTTCTTACATGAATTTAAATTTCGAAGTAAAATACATCTATGTATTTAAAAGATGTAATTTTGTGTTTCCTTAAACTGTAACATTTTTGTTCCTTAGCAATAATATGTTGTATGTTGTATGTAATATTCATCCAGTTAACTCGAGTTCAACCCGAGTTAAATCAAGTTACGTTTTACCCGAGTTGGCACATCACTATATGTAACGGTAACTGTTAAACACTTAATTAAATTCAGTGTTTACTTCCGACTAGTGATGGTTAACTCGAGTCGACTCGAGTTGAATTCTCTTTAACTCGAGTTCGAAAACCGAATGGAACCGACTTGGAGCGAAGTTTGACCTCTGTGAAGTTAGCCCCCTCACTTCCTTTTTTTTGACCGACTTCCCAAAAGAAGGAGGTATTCAATTCGACCGTATGTTTTTTTTTTTTTTATTTTTTTTTATGTGTGT